GGGCCCGCCCCGTCCGGCGGCGCGGGGAGCGGGACGGGCCGGCGCGGCCCCGGCGCCACGTGGCGGCTGAGCTGCCGGCCCGGGGGAGGGGGACAGCGCTGGGGAGGGGGACAGCGCTGGGGAAGGCAGCCGGCAGCCGGCGAGCAGGACGGCACGGAGCCGGGAACACCGGGCTCCGCGGGGCGGGCAGCCCCAGAGCGCGGTCGGCTGAGCCGTGGCGAGGGAGAGGCTCTTGTGGAGCCGAGAGCAGGGCAAGCACCGCTTAGCAGCGAACAGCCCTCCCGGGAGCCGAGGCCCGGAACAGCCTTTGCCAAGGCAGCGGCAGCCGGCTTTAGGGCTGGGGGACTCGCCTCCCCCTACCCTCCAGGTGATGCTGTCGCTGCCAGAACACCAGTCCTGGACCCACGTCCGTGAAACTGTGGGCTCCTCCTGAGAGCGTGGCCCAAAAAGGGCGCTGTCACCGGGTGAGGTAGGAGGTACCGTGACAGGTAGGGGCCAGGCAGAGAAGACCTCGCTCGGTTAACATGGGGCTCAGCCTTCCCTTCTGAGGACAAGGCTCTGTTCGCACCCCGACATTGACTGACCTTGTGCTCTCACTAAATGGCTACTGACACCTCGCATGCCTACGCACTGGCAGCCACTGCCTGCCCACGCACTCTCGATCCGGTTAGCCTGACCTCTCTCTTCCCAGACACTTCCTACAACTAGGGATTCAGCTTAGCAGCCAACCGCCAACGCTGCTGCCCAGAGAAATTTACATTTTCTTACACAGAAAACTTGAGGAAGCATAACTTCCCTAGGCAAAGGAGCAGGGCTGTGGCAAGGTCACAGCAGCCCCATTTCCCTGTCGGGAACTCAGCAATAACCTGCCCTCATGGCTGCTTGCGGGCATGTGTTTGCAAGTCCCAAAACATCCTGCATAGCCAAAGGGTGTTCACACCCCTCGAGCCCGGAGTGTCTGATGCTCATAAAGGCTACACTTTCCCACTCCTGCAGAGAGGAGCTGCCTGGGAACAGCGCCGGCCCTGGCCTGTGTGGGAGGGGACCTCTGGCTGTCCACCACCTCGCCCGGGCCAGGGTGCTGGTTACACAACCGGAGGAGCAGTACTGCACACTGGGACTTGTAGTCCTGGGGGATCTCATCTTCCTCCGCATTGCCTCGCACTCCAAGCAGCCTCCTCACAGGCCCAGCGGCTCTCCTTGCTGTTCAGCCCATCAGTTCCCCAACCCTTCCGGGCAGGAGTCGCGCTCCAGAACTTTGCTCCCGAGCCGGTTGTGCTCCCAAAGCTGCCCCGTGCATTCCTGTCCACCAGCGGGCAGCAGGCCTGCCCTCCCTCTCCTCGCAGTCCCCACAGCACAGGGATAGATGGCACCGGGAACAATGCCGGCTGGCAGCATTGGCAGGGCTCGGATCACCCCCTGGCCACAGGCGAGGGGCACAAGCCCCGTCAGGCTGCCTGTCATGCAAGGGGGCCAAGACAGCAGGGCACCGGGGCTTCAGGATACGTCAGGCTGCATAAGAGCCGCAGATTCTTCCAGAGATTTTCAACAGCTGGCATTTATAGGAGTGAGGGTAACTTCTAAAAAAGCCAGCTCACTGTTGAAAGATACTCCATGGAAATCTTTCTTACAGACCAGGTCATTTGAATATGCTCAGATTCAGTTTTTAAATTGAAACTAAAAGCAGCAGTGCTTGTGTTTCGCAAGTTTCAATGCCAAATGTATGCCAGGGCTTATCATTCCATAGGGCTTCTCACACTAGGAAACTTCATACCAATGAGGAAAACTGACATATGCTAAATTCCAATACTTACTCATATTCTGTTTTAGCAGAAGAAATTCTTGGTGTAAATGGCAACAGGAGAGGTAGGTAAATCCAAACTACAGTGATGTCTGTGCAGCCTCCTCTGGAAAATAGTGAGTCAGACCCGTAAAAATGAGAAAGAAGTCTAAGACTAGAGAAAGTATATGCTGGAACAAACACGAAGGGTAGTGTGTGAACACTACTCCTCACCAACAGTCATTAGTAGTATGATTGGCTTTTACGTAATTTAAGTTACAAGTAGAGTTCAAGAAACTTATCAATAAACATGTGTATCACAGCACACACTACCTGTCAGTTGATTCTGATATTTCGGTTCAACACTTTCCCCATTCTTTCTTTCTCTGTAATATGAAACCGTGATATTGCAAAACCCAACCAACGTTCAAAGATCTTTTTTTTTTTGGTTTTCCAGTCCATTCCTATTTACAGTCTAGTAAAAAATGTTTAAAGTGCACTTCTGTCCGTCTTTCCAGTCAACATTCCTTCCATTCCAGTCCCACTTCCTGCAGTTTCCTCTCGTGGCTTTTGCTTTGTACCACAATTGTCTGAATTAAGATCTAATGCTCTCAGTAGAAACTGGGTTTGCAAACACAGTTTAAAACATACCATGTGCCCAAAACAGGTATCTGAAGGCAGCTGGCAAAACTGAGCTTTACTATCAGCTGACACCACTCCAAAAAGTCAGAGGACCACCTGGGGATCAGAGGGCAGCAGTGCTGACATCGAGGCACTTGACAATTGAGCAATGGTTTACAAAGAGTTAATCATCTGAAACTTTAAGCAAGCAGAAAAACAGAGCTGTAAATAGAAGTGGAGGCTCGGAAAGAAAAAACAGAGAGGGGGCTGGACACAGAAGGGCCATGGGCAGCACAAGGACTCAAATACATGAATGAAAACATCTAAGGGCTGGAAGGATACAATCTAGAAGCAGTGGAGGGTGAGGAAGAGAAGGTCATGGCAGCAAAAATATTCCAGGAATGGTGGAAATGGGGTGAGGGAACCAGGATTTAATAACAGGACTTTCCTAGTATGCACATTACTCTTCCATTATGCAATATTTAGACCTTTCCTCATGCAATTCAAACAAACTCTCAAATTTTTAACCCCCTTATCAAGTCTGTAGGAGTCTCTTGGAATCCTTGTGATAGGGAAGGCATTGGTGCCTCACACAGCTCTAAGGACACTGTAGCACTGTGTGGATCTTGCCACAAAACAAAGTAGAAAATATCAGGAGGGAAGTGTGGTTGTCGATGTCCATGGCAGGCACTAGTCCAGGAGGAGCTCAGGATCTCTTATGCCCTCTCCAACTCCAACTCCTGTCTCTGGAAATGAGGATTTCTTCCTCATCAGAGAATTGCCAACATCAGCTGAGTTGTCACCAAGGTTATGTACTGGCTGCATGGCCAGATGCGCAGAGCACCTGGTCCTCAGCCCTGGTCTCGGCTCTCAGTCCTGGTGGTGCGTGAGCACACACCAGTGTAACACCAGAAATTTTACAGCCAACATGGAACTGTCTTCTGCAAGAGCTATCTTGCTGCTAAAGCTTTGCTTTGTCCATGATGGGAACCATTCCTGCTTAGCCCCTTGATGGCCAATCTCCACTGCAGCCCCCTCATGAGTTGACCAGTTGTTAAGACAAGTCCCCTCGTGCTCTCCACAGACAGAGCGCTCTGTTGCAGGATCCTGGTATGTGGAACCAGGGCACAGTACCCTGACAAGTAAACTTCATTTTGCCCAAAGCTGTGAGCCACAGTTGTATGACAAAGGAGTGCAACACTGGAGCATTCATTTACAGGATGTATTTATTACACTGTAAAAAGTCCATTGGATTTGTAGCCATTTACTCTGTATGTACACGGTCATATTCCCACCCCAACCACAGGTTCCTCTCCATACAGGATACACTGGGTTGGAGTCCCACCCATGCCCCTCCCAGTCACCAGGGGGATTTCCAAGATTGAAATTATTGGGAATTTAGCCAGCTAGTTGAGGGAGGAGGAGGAGGAACGGTGATGCAGCATTTGCCAGGCAGCCAGCTCTGCTCTGGCCACGAGGAGGGGGAAGAGCGGGATGTCCTTGCTGCAAGGCGGAAGCACAAGAATGACTACCAGGGCCTTGGCTGCAGGGGTGTCCTGGGGGGAGAAGGATGTGCGATCCCAACAACCAGAAGATGCACAAGGGTGAAATCTGTGCAGAGTTTCCAAGAGAAACCACTGCAGACTTGCTGGGCATCTGTCAGCAGGTGCCACAGATCCCCAATCTTCTCTAGCTGAAGAGGATGTTCTCCTAAGAAAGGGGGCTGGTAGTGTAGCAAGTGTAGCAAGTGGCGAACAACACATCACTGCTGTGTTGGAGTGGCCCCCAAGTGCTGTGTGAGAAATGGCCACGGTGCTCTGCTCTCAGCTTTTCCTTCTCATTTACTCAACTACGCAGAGCATTCTGGATTTGCTCTCTCCAACCAGAAAGCCTGATTATATCACAGGAGGAGGGAGGAAAGCCATGCTACCCCTATCAGACTCCCCTGCTGCCTACTCCATATCTGGCATGGGGATTGCTGTCATCTGTGTTGCAGAAGGAAAGCATGTGCCTACAGTAGGCAAGAAGCCCTATGTAGCAAACTGGGAGCTGCACTGTAAGCAATCCACATTTCTAACAAAATTCTTTACCTGCTGAACTCA